TGAGGCCCGCTCCTGCGCACGCGTGCGGCGGCGCCCCGGCCTCTCCTCAGGGTCGGGGGTGCGCGGCTCTGCCCGACCTCTCCCCCTTGGCTCTGGGCTGCCGCCTCAAGAGGGGATGTTCCCCGCAGGCCTGAGCCTGCCTGTGCCCCGCTCTGTGCGGCGCTGCCTGGCACCCCGCCCTCGGGGTTTCGGTATCTTTTTCACAGCCGCAGCCCCGAGGAAGCCGGGGTAGGAGCTGCGGGTTGCCAAGGGGCTCTGCAGCGACCCGGGGCTGGCGTGCAGGCTGGCAACGAGGACTCCCAGTAGCTCACAGCGGAGCTGGGCGTGCGGCATACCTCTGCCTCCGCTCCCTTACCAAGAGGCCGACAGGGACTTGGCAGAGCTCTGCCAAGCTGGGGGCGCTGGGGGCACCCGTCTGATCCCCGGGGGCATTTTCACCCTGTTTCTGGGCCTCGTGCGTTCCCAGGAGGGGATAGTGGGACTCTGCCGGGTGGCCGCCCTAGGAGCACGGTGCTGCCCCGAGCAGGCGCGCACAGTGCCGGTTGCCGACACTGCTCGTGCTGTGTAATGCAGGAACTGCACCTCATTGAGAGGCAAATCCAGAGCTTGGCAGCCTGGGAGCGTGAAAAAGCCACTTTCACCTGAGGCCTCGCACAAGAGAGGAGCCAGTTGGCGCTGCTAAGGAAGTGGAGAATTCAGCCGTAAACGAGAGAGAGCTTCGCCGGGAGGGAAGGGGCCTGAATGAACAAGGCGCTTGGATGCAGCCAGCCTCGACAGGGCAAGTGGCAACGAAGCCACGGAGGCATGGCATGCTGACCACTGCCCGGCACTACGGCGCTGCCCGGCTGGGCTGGGCTCCCACGGGAGGGGAGCACGGAGCCAGTGAAACGCTCTCAGGCTTTGTCCGGGAGCTAGTTTGAATGCGCTTCCCCTCCCAACCCTGCGAGGGGTGTCCGGTGGGACCCTGCTCTGCTGGGCGCTCTCTGGGAAGCTATAATGGGCACTCCAAGTGCACGTCCTTGCAAAGCAGTCCCAGAGCCTGCTGCCCGAAGGGCACCTGCCTGGGCCGGCATGTCCTTGCACTGGCACCCTAGGGCTCGAGCACCTGCCCTTGCAGGCACCCAGGAGGGCAGTTCCAGGCCCGCTGGCTCCTTGCTGGCTGACTTGGAGAGTCTGCCCTATGGATGCGGGGCAGATGGGCATAACGGAAAGCCCACAGATCAGTGACAGAAGGGCAGCCCAGGGGGACCTGTGCCTCTGCTGTGATGTATCGTGCAACCAGCAGTCATTTCTGTTTCCTGTGGTCCTGCCACTCTGTTGCCACCCAGGGTTTCATGGGGAAGGTGAGTATGTGCTTGCCTGGGTGAACGGGACTGGCAGGGACTTCCCTGATGTAGCTGGGCATGGTGGACCCTGATTGCTGCACGTGCACGGCTCCCCCAGCTCGATGCTGCCAGGTGGACTCTTTTCAGCTAACTAGAGCTGGGCTGGGAGTGCAGGCAGCTCATTTCCCTGAGGGCAAGGGCAGTCTCCGGCACATCGGCATGCTTGGTCTCCACATGGGTGTCAGCACTGCCCTCCCCAACAGGCCTAGAGCAGCCAGAGCCCATCCCTGCAGCCAGCAATCCTTCTGCCCTATCCAGTCCAGACCGCTCAGTTGCCTCACGTGCAACATAGGGCCCCAGAAACCACAGCTCTGCCCAGAACGACGCCCGAGTTAGGCATTAACTCCTCCAGCCATTTCGATCCATACCTGTGTAACCAAGGGCCGCCTGAGATACTGCAGATCAATAATGTCATGGGTTAGCCCTCTTTGAGTGCCCTTTCTTGCTGGCTCCCTGCAGGAGGTCTGGGGGCCCGACCCCACCCCTATGATGAGATCTGGGGGCCCGGGGGATGTGGGCACGTGTGGGGCAGGGGGGGAGAGTTCTCTTGCCGTGGGCCCGGACTTGGTGCAAAGCCTGGCTCAGAAACCCAGCTCCGTGGCCGGGCACTACAGACGCGGCATTGGCTGCTGGAATTTGAGACATCTGCTGTTTATTGATGAAGCCAATGAGCCTGCAGGTGTGAGAGGTCCCTAAAGCAGCCGCAAGGTCCAAGGCTGCCCCTGCTGACAGCCTGTGCCTTGCAAGAGGCTCCTTGTGGGTACAGGTGCCCCCAAGCACGAGGGCCCTGTGCCTGGGCAAAGGCCAGCCCCTCCGCTGTGTGGCCTGCACTGCCAGCTCCCCAGCGCTGGCACTGGGCACCTCTGCTCAGACAGGAGACCTGACACCCACATCTGCCTGGCAGTGTGGGCCTGGCCCAGGGCACATGAAGGCAAATGCTAGAGGGGATGCGGCTGAGCCCTGGCCCTTCCCCCTCGCCCATGGATTCGGCAGGGCTGCTCCTTGGAGGGTGCCTGGGAAGAGGCCATCTGCAGTCCCACAGGGAATATTTGCTTTAGATTAGCTCCCTTGCCCCAAGCTGAGAGTGGCCGGACAGCGTGGGACTGCTAGGCAGGATGTTAGCTTTGCTCTATTTGCTTTTCTGCTTTTCCTCAGCAGATAGCGCCAGGGTTAACCGATGCTGATACAATCAGGGATGCTGGGGCAGCTACCTGGAGCTGCTGTGCAGGGCTCGGCTCCGGGCACGGGCAGGGCTCAGCGCCGCAGGGGGATCTGTCTGTCCCGGGGGCTAACTCAAGGTCCCGGCACATGGAGGATGCAGCCAGAGGCTCCTGCCAGGGTGAAATAAAGCAGGCTACGGACGCGGCATCAATAACAGGCTGACTCGCTGGGGCATCAGCAGCTGCAGCTTTAGGCTCGGTGCATTCTGCCCCTCATCCCAGAAGGGAACCCACGGCAAATATTTACAGGGGCTTATAAATATTTATCCTGTAATAACTTGCTGCCTTGCAGCACATTCTTCTCCAGGAGACGAAGCCGTGCCCTGGGCCAGGTGGGGGCTGCTGCGCGGCCGCAGGATGTATGAATAACCCACAGCAAGCGCTGCCGCGCAATAAAACCGCTGGCCGCTCAGGTGCCCGCATGGAAGGTGCCGCGGGCTCTTACCCAACTAAAGAAAAATGTGGCTGAGCAGCACAGGTGTGTGAGAGCCTGGTGCGGGGCAGACTTTGCCGCTCTCCACAGCAACAGCAGAAAGGCGTTGTGAGTCTCCGGAGAGCCGTGAATCACACCACCAGCCTAACAGGACAGGGCCCCAACCTGCCTGCCACATTTAGCAGCACAGCCCTCCCTGTACCGTGCCACGTGCAGGCATGTCGGCAGAAGCCGACGCTCCAGACCACAAGGCGATGTGCTGCGGCACGTCTCCCCCTCTGCCAGGTGTGTGTGCCTGTGCACGCGTGCCTGCCTGCACACCCATGCCAGGAGCCCAGCCCAAGTCCAGCTGAAACCCTGGGCATGGCTCCGTCTTACTCTGGTAACCGAAACGTGCCGAACGTGCAGGAGCTGCAGCAGCCTCACTTGCACCACACAAGGCATGGGCCACGTCAACCACCCAGCGGCGTGGTGCGGTGCAGTCCTGCCGAGCTGACCCAGCTTCTCTGTGCTCCAGGGCAGAGAAGGAGCTTGGCATGGGCACCCAGGGATCAGGGTGCAGAGGGAGGTGGCTGAGCCAGGCTGCTGAGGGACCAGGGCAGCGTGGCACAGCTGCCGTTCCCGAGGAGGGCGGTTCTGGGCTGGGACACGAGCAGCGCAGTCATTTTTCATGCATGCCCTCGTGCGGGAGCAAGGAGATCCTGGAGCCGGCTGGGCCCTTTGTTTTGTTTTGTTTGCTTGGGTGCCAGATGTTTGTCCCCTCCTCCGTGCTTTTGGAACAATCCATCCATTTATTGTTTTTTTGCTTAATGATTTGCAAGAGCATAAACAGGCTGTGGCTTGGAACCCGCGCCACGATCTCCACGGAGCGGCGGAGATGGAGTCCTGAACTACTTTCGAGCATGAATAAATAAACAGCGTGGAAAGGCTCCATTGTGTATATTCTAAGTTGCTATTTTCTTAACCCTGTCTCATTAAGATGGATGGAGTTTCTGCTTATTAGTAATTTGGCAAGTTCCTCTTTGTATACACTCTGCACTTCTCACTAATGATGCTTTGCTTCAGTGATTAACAAAGGAGACTTCCAGCATCGCAGGCGAACACAGAGCCATCCACTCCAGGGCACTCGAATTGAAGCCCAGCGAGCTGGAGGTGCAGCTTGCTGGGACGAGGACCTGCAGGGGACCCAGAAGAGGAGAACCTGCTGCTCCTACATCCTTCCCCGACATTGCAGTTACTTTGACCTTGGGACTTTTGTGCCTAATTCACATGTACCGGCACAGGCCAAGCAGAGCCTGCAACACAGGGACTCCAGGCCTTCGCACGGCTGACCCTGAAACGTGTCTGGTGGAGATGGAGCTGGCAGTGCTACTGCCATTTCTACAGGATTTGGCCATTAAAGCATGTTTACAAGTCTTTAGTGCAGTGTACACATCTGGTAAATCATTGATGAAGCAAATAGCTCCTGGTGTCATGCTCCCTCTGTCAGCTTGTCAGCTCTTCCCACTACTAGGTTACCCAGCAGAGGATCCCCTGCACGCCTCCCAGAGCCCTCATGCACACCCAGGGACGTGTGGGCACACATGCAAGCCTGCGCACACACAGGCAGCGGCACACGTGCACAGACAGGTGCCCAGTGCAGGTGTTGCAGGGCATGCCCCTACTTGAACCACCCTACTGCAAAGGCTGCTGGACAGATGCTGAACAGCATGGAAGGAGCAGGGGAAAGCAGGGCTGGGAGGTTTTACTCAAGCTCGTGTCCCTTAAGGAACCCAGCTCCAGAGGGGGACCAGTCAGGGCAAGGGAGACGTGGAAACCGCCAAGAGCAAAAATCCTGCAGCCGTGGAGCACACACAAGCCGGGAACCGCCAGCAACCACAAGGACCATGTTTCAAGGGCAAAGCTTCCCTCCTCCTGTCTGAGGCCACAGAGGTCAGCCCAGCCCAGCCACTGCCTGGGGGACTGTCTGGGAGTGCCTTGAGAGTAAATGGTCCGAGGGCCCCTGGGGGTGCTGGAGCAGCGCAGAGGCAGCAGAAGGGAGAAGCTGCATTCAGGGCCCTGCTGCGACGAGGCGTTGGGACCCCTGCTGCAGGCGCGCGCCGTTCCCAGCCAGCTGCACAGCACACTGTGGCCTCTGCTGCCCATGCAGCTGGGCAGAGGTCAAAGGGGAAAGGGCAAAGGGTGGGAACAGAGGGTGCGCAAGGTCAGCTTGTTCATGCCAAAGCCCTTTCAGAAGCGCTGGGACGGCGGGACAGGGGAGCAGGAGCTGCTGTGGGAGCACGTACCTGCCCCTCACGCCCGCTCGCATGCCCATGCTGTAACACACAGGCTGCCAGATGACTCCAGCACCTGCCTGGCCACTCAAGCCTGCAGCATGGCCAAGGGTACCAGCCAGGCACCGCTTTGAGCTAGCTCCCACCACGCACATGTTGGCCAGGGTGGGACAGGCTGGTGGCATATGCCCCTTCCTGCACTGAGGTCTAGTGGTTTGTTGGGGCTCTGCTTTCCTGGGCCACCCGGTCCCCAGGTCGTGGGGCTCTTTCAGGGGATGGGGGTGGGATGCTGCATTTGCAGGGGGGAGGGGAGGTGACTTTCCCCTTCCACATGGACAACTTCATAGAGCGGCTTTAAGAGGGTTTCACAAACCTCCTCCCCACCCCCAGACCCCGCGCGTTTCAGCCGCTTGCCAAGGGGAATTAATGAATGCAGCCAGCGGAGCTGACAGCCCCGCAGCCGCTCGCTGCCCTGCACAATGGAGATCCCACTTTCCCTCCTCTCCCCCGGAAACACATGCCCAAGATCCAAGGACATAAATTTCTTCTAACCTAATTCGTTTTCTAGATTGATGGAGAAAATCCATAGCAAATATTTATGGCTCTGCCATAAATAACCCTTTCCTGGACTTCCAAGGAGTTCTGCGGAGTTTCAAGGTAACTTTCAGCGCGCTCCAAAGGTCAGGGCAGATGGGGATACTGCACCTACAGTGCTTGAGCCTCTGGCTCATCTGTTTTGAATTATTGGTATTACTCAGGTTAGCTGGGTTCTCAATGGAGTAGCTGTGCTGGGTTTCCAGGGCCATATTTTATTTCTATGGTGGGAGAAAGGCTTCAATAATTATTAGTTGTACTCTGTTGCAGCTAGTGAAAGAAGCCAGCCACAGTAAATTTGGGCTCAGCTCTGTGTTCGCAGGCAGAAACCAGCCTGTTGGAGTGAGGAAGGGGTTGCTGCCTGCCCCGAGTCTGTCTATGGGGCACCCAGGCTGAGCCTGGGAGCAGGCAAGGGATCACTGGGGGCTCTGCTCCTACAAAGGCTTTTGCTTGGTTCATTGCTGCAGCGCAGGCTCAGACCAGGCTGACCCGGGCAGGACTGCACTGTCTTTGCCACAACCCACGGCATGAGGCACGTGCACTGCCCTGCACATGGCTCTGCTCACGTCCTGCTCCACCCTGGTGGGGTTTTTGTGTGGGGAGCCCCACTCTCCATGGCACACGCTGGGCCACGGGTCTTGCACTTTCCTGTAGGGACAAAGAGAAGCCTGCTCAGACACCTGCCCATGCTGGAGTGCAAGCAGTCCAGCTCTCCATCTGCCGGGAAAACCAGGTGCCCCTGCACTCCCCAGCAGTCCCTGGCCTGCAAACCCCACCTGACACACGGGCACAACCACCCACTGCCACTGGCGGATCCAAGGAGCCGTGACCTATTATGTGCCGCTGTGCAAGGCAGCTCCCCAGCCTGCTAGTAGGCACCTCTGGGAGTATATATGCCTTGCACGCTCCCAGCCCAGGAAAAGGCAACCGCACTCCTAAGAGGTGCCTGCGTCGGCTCCCTCTGGCCCTGGAGCAGTTGTGGGGCATTGCTGCCGGGATGCCCGGCGCTGGGCTGCAATCTTGCCCTCGCTCCCAGAGACAGCAGGCGAAGCACAGAGGGCAAGCGTGCGAACTGGTACCGTGGCAAGCCCGCGGGCCGGGCAGCAGAAGGGCGGGAGCGAGCGCGGAGCTGGGGCCCCCCCACGGCTCTGTATTCTTTAGCTCTTCATCATTAGAACAGAAAGTGAAAAAATGAGACAGTGTCACCCGCTGGTCTCCGGGGAGCGGGCTCCATTCAGGCCTTTCAGAGAACAGGGTCAGACATGTCTTCTGACCTCTGCCCTATCGCATCGCTCCTCACCATAATTATCT